TATATATATAGATATATATATATATATATATATAAAGCGAGAGGTTTTTCTTCAGATGGTGAAAATATAATAAAATTGTTTTTTGGGCTCCATCCAGTAATTAAAAAACAGTTTTAATGAAAAATGTTTTATTTATAGAGAACATACGTTTCGGGTCTGGATTGACCCATCCTTCAGTGCTACAATTAAATAATTCAGGGTTACAAATTAAAACAATATAAAAAAAATACATAATTAACAGACAAAAATAAGTAAAACAAGGTATATGAAAAGTATATATGAAAAAAACCATAAAATAAACAATGTAAAGAAACTCACCATACAAATAAACTTTGAAAAAAAACACAAAAACACAAAATGCACGAAAAATAAATAAAAGTGAAATAAAAAATTGATGAAACGTCGAGTTATGAAAAATTTTAAAAAAATTGTAAAATTAAAATGAATGATATATTTTATTATAAAAAAAGATTATTCCAAACGAACATGTTGTTAGTTTGGAAGTTGTATTACGAGTGTGTACGAGAGTAAAATGTGGGCGAACGTGTTTGCGGAAAAATACTGGAACTGTATCGTAATGGTGAGAGAACGGGATAGAGAGAATTTTGGTGGTTCATATTACGAAGATTTTCTCAACGATCATGCGCAGTAGGAAAACTAGTAAAAAAATTTATATATGTGCAAGACATCCATAATCAAAGCCAAAAATATGTGAATGAGAAAAATTTATTAAGAAAAATGTATGATATTAAACAGAAAAACGATAATAGTTATGGAACGATAAAAGTTACATAAAAAATTATAACCTAACATATATATGTATATATAAACGCAAAACAATAAATGTAATATATGTAAACACATACACATACACATATATGCATACACAAAGAATAATTAGAATACATAAAAAAAATGTTTAGGATGTATTGCGCATATTGAAAAAAATATTTGAAGCATCGCGGTAAATATTGCAAAAGAGAAGCCGAATCAAATCGTGTTAATAGAAGGTAATATTTGTATGAAAATACTCTCAGCGAACTTCCTGCGTAAAATGTTAGATTCACGATGAATAATCTTGGATTGGTGAAATTAAAAGATGTTTAATTGGAGACATGCTCGGTGATCATGGTTTTATTGTTTTCTGTTCAAACTATTAAGTTCGTGTTGGCGCATTCTTTTGAGAAAATTGTGAAGTTTCTCCAACATAACAGCTTGAACAATCATTACAATCAATGACATATACGATGTTTGAAGTGCGGGAAATAGGGGTAGGAGTTTTTAAATTAGTGTATAAGTCTGAGAGAGTGTGTCCAGTCGAACACACTAGCTTCGACCAACGGATGAAAAAAGTTTTTCCATGAGTGGAAAAGGCAGCTGCCGTCAAGGTACGGTAATGAGATGAAGGAATTGAGAGATAGTGAATTTTCAGGAGGC